CAACCATGTATATGTATATGTATATGTATATGTATATGTATATGTATATGTATATGTATATGTATATATAAAAGGAGTATAAAAGAGCCCTTACCTTACTAGGGGAGGAGGAATATTGGAGAAGCCATGCTTGAAATGAGTCTCGAATGGTAAATAGGAGTTAATCTGGTGAAGGACATTTAATCTGATGGAAATTAATGTGATGGAAGGACATTTCAAGCAGTTAGAATAATGAACAAAGACACATAAAAAGAAGTAGCATATTAGGATTTCTGGTTGGAGAATTACAAACAGGTTAGTAGTATGTGAATGGCAAGTGTGGGAAGCAGGAAGTTTATGAGGCACCAAAAGATAAGCCAGACCAGATCTTGTGGTGTTGAGCTTGGACTTTATCCTCATTGGTTCTCAAATCTATGAGGTCCAGTGTTTCCTTCCTGTAGTAAATATTTTCTAATGCCCCTTTATTATTTTTAAATAGAATTTATTTATAGTTATAATTCATATATAATAAAATTAACATGCATCATTTCTAACAAATTAACACGATGACATAAATGTACTATAAAGTTAAGTTCTAAGAAACATGAAATAAAGTAATTTGAAGTATGTATTTTAAAATGTAAATGTTCAAGCATTACTGCATTAGAACATGTAATGAATCATACAGATACTTGTACTTCTATGTAGAATCCCTGTGAATGTGCAGCAATAAACATGGACTTTTATAGATGTATTGGTAATTCAGATATTTTAGTTGCTATTGCCATTGGTAATATTCCAAAACGTTCAACAACCTGTTTGTAAAGTTCTGACCAAATTAAAGTACAAATAATATTAGTTTCAGTCCCATAAATTTGATGTTTATTAAAACTGCAAAAAAATTTTTTTTATGAAAAAAAGATTAATTTCTAGATTCAGGTAATTATAAACAAGTTTTTCCACATAATGTTAAGTGGAACATTGCCAAGTCATGTGGGACATGAGTCTGTTTGTTTTATGGGATGTTCTTGAGACGGGGTTGGTAAACTACATCCCAGAGGCCACACTGCCTATTTTTGTATAGCTTATGAGCTAGGAATTGTCTTTATATTTTTATTTATTTATATGTATATTTTAAATTATCAGGGTTTCTTTTTTTTAAGTTTATTTATTTATTTTGAGAGACACAGGAACAGTGGGAGCAGGGGAGGGGCAGAGAGAGTGGAAGAGTCCCAAGCAGGTTCTGCACTGTCAATGCAGAGCCTGATGCGGGACTTGAACTCCCGAAACTGTGAGATTATGACCTGAGCCGAAATCAAGAGTTGGAAGGTTAACAGACTAAGCCACCCACGTGTCCCAGAATGGTTTTTATATTATTTTTAGAGAGTTGGACCAAAAAACAACAAAAAAAAAGGAGGAATATGTAACACCTTTATAGAATGTTTGTCAATTCATTTTCTTGAGCATTGTAGGATGCCGATCATCCCTAGATCCTGTTTGCTAGATGCCAGCAGCACTCCAGTCACTATGAAACCAAACACAGCTCCAGCATTTTTCAAGTGACTTCTGAGGGCACTACTACCTTGCTGAGGACCACTACCCTGGATGATCAGTTTTCTTTTTTTTTTTTTTTTCAACGTTTATTTATTTTTGGGACAGAAAGAGACAGAGCATGAACGGGGGATGGGCAGAGAGAGAGGGAGACACAGAATCGGAAACAGGCTTCAGGTTCTGAGCCATCAGCCCAGAGCCTGACGCGGGGCTCGAACTCCCAGACCGCGAGATCGTGACCTGGCTGAAGTTGGACGCTTAACCGACTGCGCCACCCAGGCGCCCCCAGATGATCAGTTTTCAATATTTTATTCCATCGTGACACACTTAACAAATAGTAATATGCATGATTTATTCCCATGTAGAATTCTTATGCTCGTAATTTTCTGTTTTTTTCCTTACATTCAAGGAAACAATTAAAATGAAGCAGGAATTGGGGCACCTAGGTGGCTCAGTCAGTTGAACATCTGACTCTTGATTTTGATTTTGAGATCAAGCCCCACATTGGGCTTTGTGCTGACAGTGCAGAGCCTGCTTGGGATTCTCTCTCTCCCTCTCTCTCTCTCTCTGTCCCTCCCACACACTTTCTCTCTCTCTCTGTCTCTCTCTCAAAATAAATAAATAAGAATTTGAAAAAAATAAGGCAAGAATTGTTAATATAAGGTTAACCTTGAAAACCCTCCAGTTTTTACTTACAAAAATAAATCTTTACAAACTTCAGTACTTTTATTACTACTAATAACATTACTTGTAACTTATAACTTACATAGGAATGTTTTATAATTGACTGATAACCACTGTAGCAGCTCTTGGAAACCTTAAAGCAGGGAAGTGACAGTATCCTATTGACATTTTAGATAGATTACTTTGGTGGGTAATAGAAGATAGACTTGAGGAGGTACAAAGTACAAGCCTAGTTTAGGTACAAGATGGTGGCCTCTTGAGTATTCTATGCTGGGTAGTAGGGACAGAGCAGAGAAGGCACATTATTGGAGAATTATTTCAGATATAAAAATCAGTAGAAGTTAATGAACAAAATGTAGGCTTAGTTCTTAACCTTTGTTGCTCATTAGAATTATTTGGGATGCTTTTAAACAATGCCAATGCCTGGGCCCCAATTTAGGATTTTTAGAAATCAGAAGTTCTGGGATAGAGTCTGGGAATAGATATTTTAAAAATGTACCTCATGATTCTAATTTGCAGCTAGTGTTGAGAACCACTAATTCAAGTTGTGGAGGAGAGAGAAGAATAAGGGATAAGTGAATAGTACCAGGCTGCCAGCTAAGGCTACTGGTTGATGGAGGGGGCATGCTTTAAACAGTGTCTGTTCCATGGTAGCTGTTCAGATATTTTTGGTATAAATGAGAACTGATGACTTTGAACTTGAACCAAAGCCAGTTCCTTATTTAATTTCTGATTATTCTAAATTTGGATGAATTAACCCCAGTTCAAGATATAATCGACTGGGACCCAACCAAAATAAATGCTATCACAGGTAAGGTTATATCAGAATGGATATCTTGATATAATTTGAGGAAAAGAATGATATAAATCACTGATGCTGTGGTGTGATATTGTGAAGCAAAGTGCCAGCTGAAATAATTTGACTTCATTATAGTACATTATACAAATTGATATTTCTATTGAGTGCCTTAGAGAATTTGGGTCCTCATACCAGGTAAATAGGCAGGTATTCAATATATGTTTATTATATTATATGGTGAAATATCTTTATCAGAAAGTTGTTATATTTATCATACAATTCTTTTTTATGTTAATGGAAGAATGAAAGGCAGTATGTTTGTCTTTCAGCCCCAATTCTACTTCCTCTACCTATATTCTACCTGTACACTGTCTTCCTTTACACTCCTCTGTTCTCACTGCTACTGCCCAAGTATAGTCAGGACCGTTGGTTTCCAGTGATAGGAATATAGCTCAAACTGTCTTGAATATTAAATTGAATTTTTTGGTACCTGTAGGCAGAAAGGATGCTGAGATAACATACAAAATTAAAGAAAGGTTTACAGGAACCAGGGCTTTGGTGATTATAGAGCAGGAATATCATTCCATTAGAACCACTCTCATCTCTGCTTGGCTTTGTTCTTTTTTATTGCAATCAGGTCTTTGCCAACAGATCAAAGATAGCAGTCTGCAACCCAGCCTCATAGCCTCTGCTTCCAGGATTCCAAGAGGAAAGACCATTTCTACTCCTGTTCTAAATTGAGAAATTGATTTCAAGTAGTTGTTGTTTCCAGAGAAAGGAGGCTACTATGATTTGTCTGGTTTAGAGCTCATGCCAACCCCAGTGGCCAGGAGAGGATAAGGATATACCAAAGAAGAGGCGAGGAAAATCTTGAGACCAAATCATTAAGTCACTGTCCTCTCCAGGGCTCCATTGCCACAGACCCTTGATGATTTTCCACTTCAGTTTATTTATTTAGCAGCTTACTATTCATAGAACAGCAATGATAATTAAATTTTGAAAATTTATGGAGAAATGTAGAGTAGTGTACAATTTTAGACTAGTAGTATTGTAAATGAGCTATTTGACTGAAGATGGACTACACAGCTAACATAATGCATTCATTTAACAAAATGTACTCAGTTCTTCTATGGACAAGGCATTGTATAGTCGTAGTATATCAAACCAAGCCTGGCTATAAGGCATTGTGAAATTATATAAGATTTCAACAGAGGATGAGTTAATTCATTTTCTTGTTTTATTATTTAATTATTTAATTTTATTATTTTCCCATCATGGAACTTGGTATTTAAGAATTAGATTCTAGTTATTGATATAGAATTTGAGTGACATGGAATTTTTAACAAATAGTTTCCTTTTCTTTTTTTAAATATTTATTTTGAGAGAGAGAGAGAACACGAGCAGGGTAGAGGGAAAGAGAGAATTCAAGCAGGCTCCATGCCCAGTGCAGAGCCTGATGTGGGCTTCAATCTCACGACACTGAGATCATGACCTGGGTTGAAATCAAGAGTCAGATGCTTACCCCACTGAGCCATCTAGGCACCCCAGGAAGTAGCTTTTCTGATACTCAATATTTGTAAAAAGAATGTTTTTGTTATTTTTTTTTTCTTTTTTTTTTTTTCAACATTTATTTATTTTTGGGACAGAGAGAGACAGAGCATGAACGGGGGAGGGGCAGAGAGAGAGGGAGACACAGAATCGGAAACAGGCTCCAGGCTCTGAGCCATCAGCCCAGAGCCTGACGCGGGGCTCGAACTCCCAGACCGCGAGATCGTGACCTGGCTGAAGTCGGACGCTCAACTGACTGCGCCACCCAGGCGCCCTGTTTTTGTTCTTTTAAAGAGCTTATTCTCATTACTGTCATTTAATGACGCTTTTTGAAAGCTGATTTAGTGATTAGAGTCATTCAAAATATGATCTGTAGTTAAGCTATCTTTTTTTAGTTATTTACCAAATTCAAATTATATAATTTTTTCTGTCTTTATAGTCAATTGCATCTGCAGACATGGATTTCAACCAGTTGGAGGCATTCTTGACTGCTCAAACCAAAAAGCAAGGTGGGATCACATGTGACCAAGCTGCTGTCATTTCCAAATTCTGGAAGAGCCATAAGACAAAAATTCGAGAGAGCCTCATGAACCAGAGCCGTTGGGACAGTGGGCTTCGAGGTCTGAGTTGGAGAGTTGATGGCAAATCGCAGTCAAGGCATTCAGCTCAAATACATACCCCTGTTGCCATAATGGAGCTGGAAATAGGAAAAAGTGGACAGGTGAGCCCAACTTCAATCAATTTCCTTTTATAAACTACATTTCCTATTACATATTAGATGATAAAAATAATAGGAAAAGACTCTGTTTCCTAGAATCCCTTTTCAGATATGGAATCATCTGAAAATTTGGATACTCCTCGTTGTGGATAGAATCTGGAAATCAGCCTCATGGTCCTGGCAGCTATCTCAGAATAACAAAATGAGTCAATGAGGTGATTGCACAGAGAGTGGCCACCATTCCATTTTGGTTAGATCTCAGAATTCTTGGCATTTGCTCAGAATTCTTGGCATTTGGTCAGAATCTCCAAAGCAATGATAGAGATGCTAAATAAAGACCAGGAATTGAGATTAAACGACACAGAACAAAACTGTCTCACACAGTCATCTTTATGGGCAGTCAGATATAGGAGGCAGTGCATCTTAATTACAGCAGTGTGTTGTTCCTAAAGACTCTAAGTGTGCTATCTCTGTCCTTGAGCCCACAAATAATTTTTAATGTGATCTTGATTATTTACAAAACAGTTCCTCTTTTTCTTGCAGTTTCCATATAGTCATTATAGCAGGTAATTTTAGCATCTACATTGTTTTTCTTGAAGTCATTCAGTTTGTGCTTTAGATGATGCCAGATCAGACTTTTAATGACCTGGTATATGTCTTTGGGGGAAGAAAAAAAAAGCAGCAACCCATAATTAGGAAGAGAAAACCCAGATCACTGAATTAGCCAACCAGATTTATTTTCAGATGAATAATCAAATAAGTGCTTCTATTACATTCTATAGTAGAAATTTATTTTTCTTCTAGGGATGAGCATTTTTTTAGCTGTCAGTTCCCCTCATATATTCCCTTAGGATTTTTCAGTGTTTGTAGTTCTATAATGATACTGATTTTAATTTAAAATGTAATTCCTCTTAAAAAATAATTCTTTTACAAAATACGTTTGGAGAATCATTTCTTTAGTTATTGTAAAATAGTACTGTTGCTTTTGTTGACTTTGGTTTGTCTGACCCTAAAGTCCATTTTTTTAACCATTGTGTTAATATGCCTTCCTTCTATTGTTCTAGAAGTTCTAGACCAAAAATCTGACAGATTAGAAAGGTGTGATAAGTACACTTGGATATCTAAGTTTACCAACCATTTTTCCAGGCTGTTCATTTTTTATTTGGCAATAGTGATTATTTCATTTTGTCTTTAAATATTTATCATTTGGGCAGGAATTGAAAACATGCATATCTATTTCAAGACATTCCTAGAAAGCTATTATAGTACTTCTTTAATTTGATACTGTCTTACTGTTTGAACTCAGGTTTATTATGTGCCTTTTGATTTTAGTAACTTACATATCATCTGAATTTATTGGGTACTGCTATAGGTATTTGTAAATCTACTTTAACATATTTAAAATATTTTCTTTGATCTTGTTATCCAAAGTGACATTCTACTCTGTGTGTGTGTGTGTGTGTGTGTGTGTGTGTGTGTGTGTGTGTAGAATGGTTTTGTCAATCAGTAAATCACTACAAATAATTTGTTGGCTAGCTTCGGGGTTATTTTGTGATAAATTAGAACAGGTTGGTAAACTCTTTTTTTTTAAGTGGCGAGATATTTTATACTTGACAACCATATAGTTTCTGTCATAAGTACTCAACTTTGTTGTTGTAGCTCAAAAGCAGCCACAGACAATATGTAAATAAGTGGGCATTGCTGTTTCTAGAAAGTTTACTTACCACAATATAATCAACAGGTCTTAGAAGTCAGAGAGTCCATAAGCCCTTACTAAGGTGAATTACACAGGTGAGGTAGTATATCCCCAATTTCTAGAGAAGGTATCTGAGATAAATACATTACTTGTTTTAGACAGAGCTAACGTAGTAAAATGAAAAGCACTAAATTCATTTTTTCGAAAAACCATTCACACCAACATTTAGGAGCTTTTGTTAGCTTCTCACAATATTCTGTGCCAAAAAACCAAGTTGGTAGTACAATATGGTAGTCAACAGTATTGATAGGAATATTGCTCAGCAATAAAAAGGAAAGAACTTCTGATAAACACAATAAAATGGCTGAATCTCAAAGTCATTTGCTGTGTGAAATAAGCCAGATATAAACTTTTTATCATAATGTATGATTTCACGCATATAAAATCCTAGAAAATGCAAAGTAATCATGACAAAAAGTATATGTCTAGGTTAAGAGTAGAGGGAGGGATAGATAAGATTACAAAGGAGTGTGGGAAAACTTTTAAAAGTGATAAAAATATTTATTATGCTAATTGTGGCAACAGTTTCATGGGTGTATGCATATTTCAAAATTTATGAAATTGTGTACTTTAAATGTGCACTATATTGGACATTACTTATACTTCAAAGTTTTTGATTTAAAAAATGGTCACCATTGGGGCTCCTGGGTGGCTCAGTCAGTTAAGCATCTGACTCTTGATTTCAGCTCAGGTCATGATCTCAGGGTCGTGGCATTTAGCCCCATGTTGGGCTCTGTGCTGGATGTGGCTCCTGCTTAAGATTCTCTCTCTCCCTCCCTCTACTGCTCGCACTCTCTCTGTCTTAAAAAAAAAAAAAAGGTTACCATGAAAATGATTAAAGTTGCTCTTTAACCCACAAAATGCTTTGAATGCAAATATATTCTTAACAAGAAAAGTTGTAAAAAAAGAAGTAAACAATAATTTAACCAATTCCGGCAATAAAATATACAGCCCCGATCTTACAGGAAATGTTTTTGTGAGACCTGGATCTTTGGTTAGTTCTTCTGTCAGCTTCTAAGTGAATATTAGTTGTGAAGTAATCCACTATATCATATTTCCAGTTTTTAGAATATCTATAGGTAACAAAGTCAAAGTTATTTTCATATGTAGACATTGAATGAGCTTGTGAGAGAAGTGATGAGCCTAGGATACTAAGAGGTTGCTTCCAAGAAGAGCGACCAACTTTTTCGAACTCTGTGTGTATGTGTACATGCATGTATGTGTATTTATATACCCCAAAACAACTAAATTACTGTCTTCAGTTTATGTCATTTAAAATCAGTTGTTCTCAATAATGGTTGCACATAAGAATTGCCTGTGGGGCTTTAAAATTTTTCATGCTTAGGACATTGCTCAGACCAATTAAATAAGAATCTAGGGGGATGGAACCTGGGCATCAGTATTCTTTAAAGCTTATGTTTCCTTGGCACAAAAACAGACACATAGACCAATGGAATAGAATAGAAACCCCAGAACTAGACCCACAAACGTATGGCCGACTCATCTTTGACAAAGCAGGAAAGAACATCCAATGGAAAAAAGACAGTCTCTTTAACAAATGGGCTGGGAGAACTGGACAGCAACATGCAGAAGGTTGAAACTAGACCACTTTCTCACACCATTCACAAAAATAAACTCAAAATGGATAAAGGACCTGAATGTGAGACAGGAAACCATCAAAACCCTAGAGGAGAAAGCAGGAAAAGACCTCTCTGACCTCAGCCATAGCAATCTCTTACTTGACACATCCCCAAAGGCAAGGGAATTAAAAGCAAAAATGAATTACTGGGACCTTATGAAGATAAAAACCTTCTGCACAGCAAAGGAAACAACCAACAAAACTAAAAGGCAACCAACGGAATGGGAAAAGATATTTGCAAATGACATATCGGACAAAGGGCTAGTATCCAAAATCTATAAAGAGCTTACCAAACTCCGCACCCGAAAAACAAATAACCCAGTGAAGAAATGGGCAGGAAACATGAATAGACACTCCTCTAAAGAAGACATCCGGATGGCCAACAGGCACATGAAAAGATGCTCAACGTCGCTCCTTATCAGGGAAATACAAATCAAAACCACACTCAGATATCACCTCACGCCAGTCAGAGTGGCCAAAATGAACAAATCAGGAGACTATAGATGCTGGAGAGGATGTGGAGAAACGGGAACCCTCTTGCACTGTTGGTGGGAATGCAAACTGGTGCAGCCACTCTGGAAAACAGTGTGGAGGTTCCTCAGAAAATTAAAAATAGACCTACCCTATGACCCAGCAATAGCACTGCTAGGAATTTACCCATGGGATACAGGAGTACTGATGCATAGGGGCACTTGTACCCCAATGTTTATAGCAGCACTCTCAACAATAGCCAAATTATGGAAAGAGCCTAAATGTCCATCAACTGATGAATGGATAAAGAAATTGTGGTTTATATACACAATGGAGTACTACATGGCAATGAGAAAGAACAAAATATGGCCCTTTGTAGCAACGTGGATGGAACTGGAGAGTGTGATGCTAAGTGAAATAAGCCATACAGAGAAAGACAGATACCATATGTTTTCACTCTTACGTGGATCCTGAGAAACTTAACAGAAACCCATGGGGGAGGGGAAGGAAAAAGAAAAAGAAGTTAGAGTGGGAGAGAGCCAAAGCATAAGAGACTCTTAAAAACTGAGAACAAAACTGAGGGTTGATTGGGGGTGGGAGGGAGAGGGGGGTGGGTGATGGGTATTGAGGAGGGCACCTTTTGGGATGAGCACTGGGTGTTGTATGGAAACCAATCTGACAATAAATTTCATATATTGGAAAAAAAAAAGGCGTATGATTCCTGTATTTATGTGGAGTTGAGAACCACCATGTTAAAGGTAGGCAAATAATCTGGTTTAAAGTGTAAATAGAACTTGGTATCAAATTTTTACAGTAAGAATTCAGTATATGTCAACATACTTCTACTTACCATAATTTATGGAGTGCCTGGGGACTTTTTATTCAGGAACTAGTTGCGGTAGTGGTGGGTTTTTTGTCTTCCTTTCTCTATTTCAATTGCTTTCTCCTGCTCAGTTTGTCTGCATTACTTCTCTCTTTGGTCCAAGGAGTACATTTGACGATCCGCAGCCAAGTATGTACATGCATTGACTTTTTTTTATTAATACAATATAAAATACTTTTGGGATATGAGGAAGCCAAAATAATAGAGAAGTCACTCACTAAAGCATATACATTTATGGAAATCTGTAGAGCTAG